TAAGACCTTGAATTGCACCCGGAGATCTACAGGCAGCCAGCGCAGCTCGCGGAGGATAGGTGTTATGTGGGCGAACCGAGGTGCGCCCACAATCACTCGCGCAGCCACGTTCTGTACTAGCTGAAGTCTCCGGGTGCTCTTCAAGGGCAGCCCCATGTAGAGCACATTGCATAGATCAGTGGTTCTGAACCTTTTCTTCACCACTGACAAATACCTTTTGTGGCCACGCACCAAGACTTAACTCGACTTAAATCATAACATTTCTGCAAAACTTCGTGGACCCTCTGTGATGACATTTCAGCCCCCTCGGGGTCCATGGACCACAGGTTGAGAACCACTGATCTAGATAGCTTCAAGCTCTTTATAGTGGGTTCAGTCCCCAGTTTAAAGGAGCAAGCAAAAACTTTTGGAAAAATTAACACTAGGCTAGACAAATAAACAGCTTGATCTGACTAATTTCTTACATTTTTGTGGTTAAAAAAAATGAAGTTGAGGAATTCAGTGTAAAAAAAAAAGCAGATCCTGAAAAGTAATGCTTCATACAAAAACTCATGGGTGACATTGAAAAAAACCAAAGGATATACGTTGTTAAAATGCCTAAATTGAATAACATTAACAACTTTTGGATGATATGAGTTTAAATTCTAGAAGCCGATGGTGTCATTAAGAGTTTGAGATTTTTTTTTTAATTCAAGAAGATTGAGAATAGAAAACAATTTTTAAAGGAAAACTGATGAATTTTACTAAATGTTGGAAAGAAAAAAAAATGGCTAGAATAAATATGAACATTTTGAAATAAAAGCCCATGCAATGTGTATGTATTAAGTACTGTAGTAAAATAAAAAGGACAAAGATGAAGAAGTAAATATTTTCTATGGGTATACCATATCTTCATATGGAATGGGAATGTTTCCCTCCCTGCATGGGGCTCAAAAACAGAGAAATAGAAGAAAATACGAGAGGTAGCTGCTACTATGGGTATGTTGATGACACTTAATATTACCACTTCAGAATATTCTATAGAATTTCTGCAGGGTTTTTGAAAAAAAATGAAATATTATTTCCACAATATCTCAAATGGCTAACCATTAACAAGCAGTTTAAGATGACAACCTGTAACTTGGGAGTAGATTGCATGTTTTGCATACTTTATACAGAATCCTCGACTTGCAACAATTCATTTAGTAACCGTTCAAATTTACAACAGTGCTGAAAAAAGTGAGTTATGACTGTTTTTCACACTTACAACATTGCCAGTGTCCCTATGGTCATGTGATCAAGATTCAGACCCTTGGAAATTGACTCAGATTTATGACGGTTGCACTGTCTTGGGGTCATATGTTCATTTTTTGCAAAGTCAATGGGGAAACCAGATTCATTTTACAGCTCTATGAATGACTTAATAATTGCAGTGATTCACTTAATAACTGTGGCAAGGTGGGTCGTAAAATGGGGCAAAACTCACTTAACAACTATCTCAGATAGCAATGGAAATTTTAGACTCAATTGTAGTCCAACTGTTGTAAATTGAGACCCCCTGTAATCGTAGTTCAAACCTCAACATCATGGTTAAAAGGTTCAAATAAAAAACAGAATGTGTCATTTGGAGAACATAGGTGTTAAACTAGATTGACAGACAACCTGACATTATCAAAAGTATCTCAGAGTAATGGGTAGAGCAACAAACATCTTCTCAAAAACATTTACTCTTGTAGAACAAAATCTACCTAAGAAACAAGGTGCCCAATAAAAAAATGGCTACTGCAGATATATAGATTTTAGCCACATTTGTCCCTTGCTGTCTTAAAATTGTCCCTTGCCATCTTAACCCTATCTCATTACACTCCTTTTTGATAAAAACATTGTTAGTTCACTATTATTCTCTGAAATTGCCATTATTTTAAAATGATACAAAACTTCTTCAACAGAAATAAAGCAGACTAAATTTCCACTATATTGTAGAGAATCAATTTTTCTCATAAAGTTTAAAAAAATATAAACCAATAATCTCTATTACATAAACCAAAGAAATGGTTCCTCATATTCACAATATAGCTTTCTAGCATTGTCCCTGAGGTCTGAATTTATCAAGTGCCCAAGTTTACACATTGCATAAAAACTGAGAAACAGAAAATTGAGCATTGGCCTTTCAGGCCCAGCTCAGTAGTAAAAGCGATTGAATTTTGCTGTCAAGTACATTAGGGAGAAAGATCACAAAACAGAGATAAATCAGATTAACACTTTAAAAGATAAATGGTATTTCAGCCAAATTTAATTTTATTTTTGAAATGTGCAAACTCATCAAAAGCCTTTACTGTACATCAAATACATGATACTGCACTCTGAAATTCATTATGGGACCTTCATAAACTTTCTTCAATCAGGTTAATAATGTCTCCACCCAATTCCATAGCACACTGTGTAGACATTAGTTATCTTGATCTAAGAAATGGACGTGAAAATCCAGTCAAACTGGAAGTCTATGGAGATTCTCAGTCATCCAGGTCATGGTTGTCCCAAAGGTGCTTTTTTCAAGAGGCAACTGGACTTTCTGGTTTTACTTTGAAGATGTTTCGCTCAAAAAGGCCATCTATGTCAAAACTGAACTACCATAAACTCTCTCAACAAAGAGGATACATCATCTATCTCTACTCTATAACACATTCCTTTCAACAGTTCCAAGAAGGCTCCACACCCATTTGCGCTACTCAGGTGACCCCAACGACAAAGATAAATCTCCAGGCAGCCTCAACAACTTGCTAAAAGAATGCAAATGACCAGCTATCTGCAAGGAGTATAAATCCTTCCATTCCCCACCATCCAGTCAGAGTGAAGAAGCTTTTTGGATAAGAAGGGAAACATTTTCAAAGAAAAACCAGAAAGTCCAGTTGCCTCTTGAAAAAAACAAACCACTTTTGGTCCAATTCAGTGGTGAAATTCTTTTTTTTTTTTTTTACTATCAATTCTGTGGGCGTGGCTTGGTGAGCATGGCAGGGGAAGGACACTGCAAAATCTCCATTCCCACCTCACTCCAGAGGAAAGATACTGCAAAATCCCCATTCCCCTCCTTACTCCTGGGGGAAGGATATTGCAAAATCTTTATTCCCATCCCACTCTGGGGCCAGCCAGAGGTGGTATTTGCCGGTTCACTGAACTATTCAAAATTTCCGCTACTGGTTATCCAGCATCGCTCAGAACCTGCTGAATTTCACCCCTGGTCCACTGAGGCAGGCTAGATGAGAACATGATGGAAATGTTTATCAATGGCACTTGCTATTATGACTCTATTATAAACCACACTTCCAGATTCAAATAGAATGTGCTTTG